TGGAAAGTATTTATTATGCCAAGAGAAAATGTTATGCAGTGCTGTCGCCTCACAGCAAGTAGGTAGCTGGTTTGAGCCTCGGCTGGGTCAGTTGGCGTTTCTGTGTGGAGTTTGCATGTTCTCACTGCATTCGCGTGGGATTCCTCTGGGTGCTCCGGTTTCCCCCACAGTCCAAAGACATGCGGTACAGGTAAATTGAATGAGTGTTTGTGGATGTTTCCCAGAGATGGTTTGCGGCTGGAAGGGCATCCGTTGCGTAAAAACGTGCTGGATAAGTTGGTTTGCAGAATTTCATGAATGCTAAATAAATCTTTTTACTTTTTATGAGCTAGCCTACATACAGTATGATATATCCTGTTGCTATACACAATAGACATCATAACACAATATATTGTTGCACCCACTAAAGGAAAAGCAAAACATTGCAAAGCATATCATGGCCTCTCTAATACAAACACATTACTGTACGGTACAAGTATTTGGCAAGTTCTGTCAGTGGGTTGTATACTTTTTAGTCAGCATTAGATAACACATCTGATTTATTGGAGGTTTGTAAACCTGAGGTCAAATCGATTTAATGCCTTTGTGGAACATAAAACAGACTGGATCTTCTCAGTGCGGTTAAAGGGGGTGTAGCGTGAGAGGATGATGCTTATGCATTCGAGAGATTGTTTTAAAGTATGCGTTTCAATAACAGAATCAAGCCCTGTTTATGTGATGTTCATGCAACCCTGTATTTGATAGATTTAATATTCTCAAGGGTGCGCGCAATTTGAGAGCGCTGATGATTCTGTCGGTTGTCAAACGCAGCTGTTTTGTGGATTGTATGTGTGTGTTTGTGAGCACTGAGCCATTGCTTATTCCTTCAGTATATATGGAGCTGCTCTCATGCTGCTCGTGGCCTTTGACTCCTGGAGTTCGGAGCTGGAGGTCTCGCTTCTGTCTCCGCAGGAGCTCGATGGAGTCAGCCGACTGCCCGAGCCAAAACACGGGTTGTTTATTTTAACCTGCCTTTGTGTTCGGACGGTTGAGGAAAAATGTGAAAGCAAGCGAGTTCTGAAAAACTTGAACTTTGCAGACTTCAGAAAGCTAGATTGCCGTCCAGAAAACGTTCTCAAACACAGAAGGATTTCTTTGAAATTTGAAGTGACTGGAACAGCATTGAAGTGTCAGTTAAACAAACAGTTTGAGGAAGAAAAGTGAATGGTTTAGGCTTATGATGGTATCAGATTTTTTTACTGCGATTAATCGGGGAAGTACAGATCACGTTATACGGTATTAACAACGCAATCTCAAGGCAATTCTTAACTTTTTGATTTAGTGGCTAATTCATAAGAATTTGTACGATCTACTTTGTACAGTTTAATACAATTTGCTCATCACCCAATGACGGTTGCGGTTAGGGGTGGGGTTGGGTGCCACGCCTCCTTTTTAAAATCGTACATTTTCATAGGACTGAACTTGTACGAATTCATACGAATTAGCCACTAAACTGACAAAACGAAAAACATTTACGTTTCCTAGTGAGATGAGGCTGGTATTATTGCGATTTCAGAGTATTGTAGCTAGCGTTGCATTGATAGGTTTTTTTTTTTGTCAATACCAAACTTATATTTGAACTTTTTGAAACTATTTCTTAAATTCAGTTCAATTCATCTTTATTTCTATATCACTTTTACAATGTAGATTGTGCCAAAACAGTTTAACATAGATGTTCTAGCAAATTGAAACTGCGTCCGTCCAGTTTTAGTTCAGTTTAATTTAATTTTCACTGCTGAAAGTCCAAACACTGAAGAGCAAATCCATCAATGCGCAGCTCCACAAGTCCCAAACCAAGCCCGCCAGTGGTGACAGTGGCAAGGAACAAACTTCACCAGTTGACGAAAGTGAATTTGTCTGTTGTTTAGTTATCTAAACATTTGTTTTTAAAACAGATGACCGTTTTGATCATGTTTGATGTTATTGCTACAGTAGTTTATTTCAGTATATTACAATAAACTGTATTATCGTGATATTGATGTTAGCTGTGAAACAGGGTACTTTAACAGATGTTAAAACAAATAATATTATATTTACATGTTCAGAGTAAATTAATGTATCAACCAAATTAATTTGCTAAATTATTATTAACTACCAGTGTTAAGTTACTTTAAAAAAATAAATACATTACCAATTTTCTGACTTCTACTAGAAAATTGTAATTTGATTACATTACTAATTACTTAATGTCAAAAGTAATCAGATTACTAATTATTTCAAAGGTACTTTTAAAAGATATAAAACCTGTAACAAATACAAAATAAAATGCAGCTCTTTCAATAGTTGAATATTTACTGAAAACATTACAATGGGTTGATCACAGCAGCTTGACAGTGTGCACACTGTGCGCGCGCTATCACAATGTGTGCCTTGGTGACGAGGATTGTCATAGACAAGTTGCTGGTCGAGTTAAAAGTATAGACTGCATTTCATAGCAATATTTTAGTTTTTTTTTTTTTTCTCAGTGAAATCAGAGTAAAGTCTGTATTTCTACTTGATAAAGCAAACCTCTATCTTTAGCAATCATCTCAGCTCATGTTCTCCAGCAATTTAAAAGCACATGCTCATTTAATGATGTTGCAGAGGAAAACATGATTTAAAAGAAGCTTTTTTTCTCCTAAAAAGCTATATTTTTAACATAAGGAATGCAAGTACATTGACTTTAGTAACTGTAAATAATTTACACAAATTTAAAATGTAATTGGTTACATTGTGTTCTGGTTGATTACATGATTGGTTACATTCCCCAAGTATTTCATTAGAATACAGTAACAAGTTGCTCTGGAATGCGTCAGACGTAACTCTGTTAACTTCAATAGGTAACACTTTAGAGTAAAGTCTTATTATTAAATGATATTTAAAAGTAGTTTTTTTTTTTTTTATTGAGATGTTAAAAAAATGTGACAATATAATACACCACAATCATATTTACATATTTGTTTTCAACTTAAAATAAAAACAATAATAACAAAGCAATAGTGTGTATATGTTAAGTAAGTAACAGATTGTTATGTATAAAATAGTAAATGTTAGTTGAAGGATTAAAATCAACAATGAGAAAAAGGCAGATTTAGTACAGTTACTATGTTATTATTAAATAAAAAATACAACATTTTTTTGTTATTTTAACTCTATTTAATAAAACGATAACGATTTTTAATATGAGTATGACTGCAATTTTAACACGATATTAATCAATAACTAAGAAATTAGCATCAGCTAAGATTAAGGTGTTATTTTGCATCGTATACGGTATTATCGCGATATTTACTGCAAAAAAGGTTACTTAAACAGGTATAATAACAAAAAATAAATAAATAAATGAACTTGGAGTACATGTTCAGAGTAAATAAATGTATCACCCAAGTCAAATTACTAAATATTATTAAGTACAATAGGTAAAAACCTAAACAATAGGTTTACATTTATTATTTATCATTTTTATGTCAGCAAATTGCAAATTCTGCTCTTTAATGTCTTATTGTCATCATGTTTATGTCCTAATTTTGGTTATTTACAGAAGTTTTACTGTTCAAAAAGAAACTTTGTGTTTCATTTAAGGTTTAAATTGTCAAAATTAAAGATCAGTGAACTTGAGATGAGGCTTTTGCACTTTTTAAAGTACACTTTTATGCTTGAATAATACCCTGATTGACATTTTTATATAGTTATAACAAGAAAAACAGCAAATAAGAAAGCGCATTGTTTTATCCAGTTAGTAAAAAAAATAAACGCTCAACTGATCGATTATCTAAACAATCATTAGTTGTAGCCTTATATTAAAAATACAATGTAAATATTCTTCAAAAGCACTCTAAATGTTTACATAATAAATAATATCCATTATCAATATTGTGGATAGTTCATATTGAATATTGTCTGAATATCTGATCTGTTTCTGTCGCGCTAATGAAGCACTTTGATAACTTATAATGAATGTTTGATCATGTAACTGTTTTGTTTAAGGATAAGACAGTTATAAAAGCAGCATAAACCCTATCTTAGTGATGATTTTTAATTATTTGCGCACTCGATTACCTACAAGTCAAGTGTGTAATATAATTTTCGGTTTGCAGCATCCATCTGTTGTTTGCTTAGATGTGTTAGTCGGTGCTGTTGAGAAATTTAAGACTAATTATGTTGCACGTGCATGAAAACAATTAAAACTGTCTGAATAACTGTTTTCTTCCCCAAATTAAAAGCTTTAAAGTTAAACTGGGTCAAATTAAATTAAATTTCCTCAATTAATTACCTAAAAAATTCAATTACATTATCCTTTACTCCTTCATGTGGTTTTAAACCGTTTTGGGAAAGAACATATTTTGAAGAATGTCTGTGAGACCATTGGACTTTCATAAAAATTACTATGGAAGTCAATGTGCCATTTTTCTAAATATCTTCTTCTTGTGTTCAGCAGAAGAAAGAAACTCAAATTGGTTTGGAAGGATGAGTAAATGATGACAGAATTTTCTTTCTAGTTGTTGTGAACTATCCCTTTAAATTCAAGCCCACTCCTGCATCCCTCATTTAATATTCCTTCCACTTGGGAATTCGTTGCATTATGGAAGAAAAAACGCTCTGAATGTATCAAATCGAATTTCATAATGCCTCTCATCCAGATGCATTTGTCCAGCCTTCTTCTGATCCATATCCGCGATGGTGTAGATTGATGCTGCGATGATGACAAAGAACTTTTTTTTTCTTTCTTAATTATGGGCAATCAAAGCAGGATAAGTCTCACGCTGAGACAGTCTGCACATTCAGTCGATAGATATGAAGCTACTGATCTCTAATCAGTCTGAAACAGGGCTTTTTTTCCTGGAAAAAGCTCAGGTCTGCTGGAAGTCAACAGAAGGGTGCATGTGAGCTGTTTGGTATTAGCCTGACGTCTGGTGTTTTGTGATGTATGCTGTGATATTGGAGAGTTTTGTAATGGTGTTCTTTTGTTTTGTGTCTTATAGCGGTCTGGAGTCAGCGTGTTCGGGTGGAGTATGAGGTCACGGCGTATCCGAATGGGTCCGTCAACCTGCGCTGTGAGTTCACCAACAGCGGGACCACCAAACTCACACAGGTCAGACCAGATGAGATGGGGGTGGGGTACTTGAATGAAAATGTTTTGCTTACTCTCTACCTAAAACCCAAAAAATATTAGAATTTTATTAAATATAACCACGGCTTTACAGGGCTTTTTTAACACCAGCCACAGTGGCTAGTAGTTTTCCAACGTTACTAGCCACTCTGCATTTTCACTAGCCACAATTTTGTTGTTGGGAAAATATTTTTATATGCATAAATATGACTTTGACATGCTAAAATGACTTGATTTAGATTACTTGATTTAGATTGCTTTGTCCACATGCCTTCTTATTCATTTCACGTTTTGTGTGTTGTGTATGCACATGGGTCATGGTTTCATGACTTTTCAGAACTCAAAATTAAGGATTTACCTAATTTATCTCTGACCACGCCTAACAAAAATGATTTCTTAGCCACAAATTTTAAATGTCAAACAAGCTAAATATAGCGGTATACTATAATTTTTATTTAACAAAACCTTTATTTTAAAAAACCAAAGAAAAGCAATTGACTTTTAAAAATTATTATTGTCATGTATTAAAAATATGCACAGTAATCTGTCCTCGCTAAAGGTCTCTCAGATCACCAGTTAACTACACCTAAATGGAGAGTTAATCTCATATTAAAGCAATGTTGCTTTAAAAAATGATAATTAAACCATATAAACAAAAATAACCGTGAGCAAAAGAAAGCAGGTGAAAAACATACTGTGTGATAATGGAAGGATGATCACACGGTTAAGGCCAATTAATAATCTGTTCAGAGCGAAAGCAACCGGTGCTGCTTACAAAAAGACATATTTGGAGCTCTTGAAAGCAGCAACACTGTGTGTGCAGTAGACAGTCACTCCCACTAGCCACTTTGGTTGGTTGAAAATAATTTTTTAATTGTGGTTTTCTTAAAAGCAGAGTTCGACTTTAAGAATGACCCAATATGCGTGCAAATGTGACCAATTTATGGACAAAATATTAGCCCCTTTAAGGTATTATTTTTCTTTAAACAGTCGCGCGCACCACATCAGCTGTTAGCGCGAGTGACTATCCTCTCATTCTGTATTCATCTGCTTTCTTCTGCTTGTGCGAATGCAATTTTTTTGTTAGTCGTGCTGTTTGTCCATTCTAAGATCACATTTGCACGCATATTGGGTCATTCTTAAAGTCGAACTCTGCTTTTAAGAAAACCACAATTAAAAAATTATTTTCAACCAGCCAAAGTGGCTAGTGGGAGTGACTGTCTAACCCGCCAAAGCTGAAATCTACCCGCATTTGGCGGGTGTTAATGTAAAGCCCTGAATATAACAATTTGTTGTTTAAGGACTGTAAGAAAATTCACAACTTATTGTTTTGATGCTTTAATAACTCGTTTATACTGTATAACATTTCCAAAACAGCTAGATTTAAATGCTAAACATGATTTGATTACATTTTTCAGTTCATTCTAAACCAGATGCGTTGAAGAACGTTATCGGAAGGTTATCAGAAGTCATTATCAAAATTCTCGATAACATCTTCCTGCTTGATCACTGTACCTGGGTGAATTTAAAATATGCAAATTTCATATCAACAAAACCTGCGAGGCATAAAACACCTGCACGTGCCAAACAAACTCCAGCTAGAATGACAGATCAGCACTGCCCAGTAGTTGTCCACTATTAATATGTCCTGAGTTTGACCCATAAACAAGTGATTGGCAGCGTTAAGCATGTAAAAGCAAACTAGTGCTGTCAAATGATTAATCACATCCGAGATACCAGTTTGTATTTAGTAGTGCTGGGCAAAGATTAATCACGATTAATCACATCCAAAATAAATGTTTGTTTTGACATAATATGTATGTGTATTTTTATTATGTTATTTATATGTTCGTTATTTATTTATTATGTATGTCATACACACAAAAAAACTATACAAAACCGTTTTTGTTAAATAGATATTTGAATTTATTCATAATTTGTAAACATACATTTTATTTCAATATATAAATAAATATGTGTATATATATATATATATAGTGGAAGTCAGAATTATTAGCCCCCTTTTGAATTTTTTTTTCTTTGTTAAATATTTCCCAATGTTTAACAGAGCAAGGATATTTTCACTGTATGAGTGATAATGTTTTTTCTTCTGGAGAAAGTCTTACTTCTTTTATTTTGGCTAGAATAAAAGCAGTTTTTAATTTTTTAAACACCAATTTACGGACAAAATATTAGCCCCTTTAAGGTATTATTTTTCTCGATAGTCAACAGAACAAACCATCGGTATACAATAGCTTGCCTAATTACTCTAACCTGCCTAGTTATCCTAATTAAGCCTTTAAATGTCACTTTAAGCTGTATAAAAGATAATTCGTCTTGAAAATTGTCTAGTAAAATATTATTTGCTGTCATCATGGCAAAGAGTTATCATAACTTGTATGCTTAGAAATGTGTTAAAAAAATTTGTTAAACAGAAATTTGGGAAATAAATACACAGGGGGGCTAATAATTCTGACTGTATATATTAGGGGTGTGAACCTACTCTGGTCTCACGGTTCGGTTCGGTTACGATTATCATGCCATCGATTCGGTTCAATTCGATATCTCGGTACATCACGGTGCATTGACGATGCTTTCCATACATAATTCGATTTTTTTTCTTCACAACACAACAGTTTTTTTTATTAAACTCTATAAATATATTAATATTTATATATTATTTGTAATACAATTGTGTCCTTTAATACAGCAGTAAGATATATGAACTGTACCTTTAATTTGACCTGCTCAAAGAAAACAGTCTATTTGTATTTATCAAACAAAACTCCAATACATGCTCAAAAGACAACATGAGCATTTATAGCAAATAAACTAATGTAAATATTATACTGCTTGCTTTTTGTGCACTGTCAAAGGATGTCTTACACCCCTATGATTGGTCATTGTCTTCACCCGCTCAACAGAAAGGGCTGCGATTGGCTTTAGAAATAAAAGCGCTGTTCACCAATGAGTGACGCGGGAAGAACAGCCTCAGTTACAGTTCTATGCGCATAATACAATGTTATCACAGGTAATCCATAATAAAACTCGCACCTCAGGCACGCTCGTGTCTGGATCCACAAGTATCGCTTTAACAGCCAAGAGGAAAGGAAAAGTTACCTCATGAACACGCCAGCGGGACAAATGTCCAAAGTGAGAGAGGCTCACACATTTATATTTATATAATATTTATTATTCATTTATATACACAAAAATCTACACAGTACGCACAAATATATTTTGTAAATGTGAACTTTTATTTTGAATGCGTTTATTCATGTTTAATCGTTTGACATATCTATACCCTTTCCCTTTCTGCTTGGCAGGTCTCGTGGATGTTTGAACGTGCGGAAAACGATCGGCAGAACATTGCTGTATTCCACCCACAATACGGAGCCAGTTTCCCTAATAAAGACTTCGAGGGCCGAGTTAAGTTCACACAGGGCTCCCTGGAGAACCCGTCCATTAGGATCGACAAACTGAGGATGGCTGATGCTGGCAGGTACATCTGCGAATACGCCACTTACCCCAGCGGAAACGAGCAGGGAACGACCACTCTTATCATGCTGGGTAAGAAGAAACACTTGTTTATTTATAGAGCTGCTATACTCAGCGCTTCCTACAAACAAGACAGACTCCAGGAATAATTCATAGTAGTAAAAATCGATGCTTTGTGAACTGTATCGCAACATTTGTGGTTCCTATCAACAGAAGAGAAGCTAAAATCAGATTAAATTCTTCTAGCAGGTGTGAGCATAACTATTGAGTTTAAATAGTCAAAGCTTTTCCAAAGGCATTTTAAACAACAAAACAACGATCTTTGTGTTTTTTTTAATGCAGAAATGGACTTTAAAGAGTTAGTTCATGCAAAAAAAAGGAAAATGCTGTCGTTATTAACTATTAAAACCTGTTAGAGTTTCTTCTGTTGATCACAAAATAAGATATTTTGAAAAATGCTGGTTCCTGGGGCCCATTAACTTCCATAGCATTTTGGTTTCCTACGTCAACGGGTCACAGTTTATTCATTTTCAAGAATTTATTTGTGTTCAACAGAAGAAAGAAACTCATATGTAATGGAAAGTAATGTGTATTTACTGTGAATGGCCGTACACCTAAAGTGCTTTGCAATCATGAAGGCGGGTCTCTCCAGACCACCACCAGTGTGTAGCATCCACTTGGATGATACGACAGCAGCCACAGGACAATGGCGCCAGTGCGCTCACCATACACCAGCTATTGGTGCAGTGTAGAAACAATAGGTGATAGAGCCAATTCGGTGGATAGGGATGATTGAGAGTCCATGATGGGTAAGGGCTGATGGAGGGTATTTGGCCAGGACACCGAAGTTATACCTCTACTCTTTACGAGAAGTGCCATGGGATTTTTAATGACTACAGAAAGTCAGGATCTCACTGATAGTATAGTGTCCCCTTCACTATACTGGGGCATTACGACTGGGCCCTTACTAGTCTCATTAACACCACCAACAGCAACCTAGTTTTCCCATGTGGTCTCCCATCCAGATACTGACCAGGCTCATCCCTGCTTAGCTTCAGTGAGTAACCAGTCTTGGGCTGCAGGAGGACATGGCTATGGCATGTGAAGGTTTAAAACCAAAATAAAAATGAACCATGAGTACATTTAAATTTTTAGGAAATTATGGTTTTTCGAATATTACATTCCATGTAGTATCTAATGTAGCTGTTTCTGAATGTTAAAGGTCTACAAAATTTTGGTAAATAAAGTTATTGCCTCTTAAAAACAAAGAATTGATTCTGAACCGCACAAATAAGCTGTCAGGAATTCCTATTTCATTCATTCTCTGCATGCTAAAAGAGCAACTGCACTGACTTTCAAACCTTTGTTGCTGGTTTGTGTTGTCAACATCATGTTGAGAAAAACAAAATAACATTTGAAACTATTTTTTACCATGACTTACGCACTTTATCCAAAATCAATCACTGAGGCTGCAAAATATATCTGTTACTTGCATCACATCTTCATGTTGTTGTTTATGATGAAAGAATTCAACAATTTAAAGCACCAAATCACAATTCACTCATGCATATAAGCATAAAGCAGATGCACGCACATTAAATAAGCATGTGTGTATACAACTGAATGCTAAAATGTTCATCTCGCTCATGTACAAGCCTCTCGCTTTTATCTATGAAGCACTTTTGCGTACACTACCTGACAAAAGTCTTGTCGCCTATCTAAGTTTTAGATAGATTATAGATTATGCTTATTTTACCTAAATCAAATATGATCATGCCTTGATTTTTAATTGTTTAATTTAGACAGTAAGGTCTGACTTTGCTTAAACAAAAGTTCTGTCACCTAACATAAATAATGTACAGTGTAGAGTATAAAGTCATGCTGCAGTGGAAAAAGGAATTAATATTGTGTAGGACTCCCATAAGTTTGGAGGACTGCATTCATACATCTCTGCAATGACTCCAATAACTTATTAATAAAGTCATCTGGAATGGCAAAGAAAGCGTTCCTGCAGGACTCCCAGAGTTTATCAAGATCCTTTGGATTCATCTTCACTGCCTCCTCCTTCATCTTACCCCAGACATGCTCAATAATGTTCATGTCTGGTGACTGGACTGGCCAATACTGGAGTACATTGACTTTCTTTGCTCTTAGGAACTTTTTTGTGGAGGCTGAAGTATGAGAAAGAGTGCTATCCTGCTGAACAATTTGCTGAAGAATTTGTCCTCTCCTGTGGTTTTATAATGTAATGGGCAGCACAAATGTATTGATACCTCAGGCTGTTGATGTTGCCATCCCCTCTGCAGGTCTCTTGCACCCCCCCATACTAAACGTAATCCCAAACCATGACTTTTCCTTCACCGAGTTTGACTGATTTCTATGAGAATTTTGGGTCCATGCAGGTTCCAGTAGGTCTTCTGCAGGATGTGTGATGATCGGGATGCAGTTCAACAGATGATTGATTCATCTGAAAAATCTGCCTTCTGCCAATTTTCCAAATGATCAGCTAGAAGTTGAGCATTATTTGTTGCTCTTACAACTGGAATTGACAACAATGCTTTTGTCAGGTAGTGTATATTACATAGCTATAAGTTTCGATAAGGTGCCACTTACCAGAAATGCCTACTCATGTCATGCCTGTGATGGAAGTGTGGGTGGACGGACTCGGGTTTGATAAAGCAAAATCTAAACAATTGTTGCAGTGTTTGTGATTAATGAGGGAGGGAAACCTCCAGTCAAATATGGTAGTGAGCCAACATTCTCAGATGGATGGATGACACACCATCTGGGCCATCTGACCAATCAGAGTAGGGTTAAGAAAGAATGAAAAAGGATTTGCATATGTATTTGCATATGCATATGTATGTATCTTTTTTTTTTTACCTAGCATGCATGACAACCTATTGTGTAAAGCAGACTTCAGTAAGGAAATTAGGAACCTTTAAAATTACAGAATGGATGCATTTTAAACAGTAGTAGATCTCTCCATGTGTGCAAAAACACACAAAATTACACTTCATTTCAACATTTATTCCTACAGGATAAAGTCAAGCATGCTGGGATGTGGAAATTTACTGAAACCAAATGGTGTTCATACAAAACTAAGGTTTTCTGAGTAAGAAATGCATAAAAAGTACAATATTAATGCTTGTGAATAGTAGAGTTAACAGAATTTTACTGCTAAAATGAGCCATTTGTTGGATATTAAGTAAAATAAACTGTTAAAAAAGTGGAGTGAATGCATGGATAGAAGGGAGGGATGAAAATAAAGAATAGATGGATGTATTGAAGGGATAGATGGATGGATAATTGATGATGGAAAGAATAGATGAATGATTGAGGGAATGGATGGATGGACTGAAAGGGTGAATGCATGATGGATGGGATGAATTGAGGAAATGGATGGATTAAAGCAGATGGATGTATTGAAGGAATATGTGGATGGATGGAGGGAATGGATGGATAGATGTAAGGAATATATGAATGGGTCAAAGTAAAGGATCAATTTGTGGATGGATAGAAAGAAAAAATTAATGGATTGAATGTATTGATGGATGGATGGATGGATGGATGGATGGATGGATGAAAGGAAGGAATAGATGGATGTTTTGAAGGAATGGGTGGATTGAAGGGATGGATGAATGGATGCACGGATGTGAGAAAGGAAAGAACAGGTGGATGGGTGAAAGGAATAGATTGATGGATGGATGGATGGATAGATAGATGGACGATGGATGGATAGAAAGAATAGATGAATGGATTTAAGGAAATGATGGATGAATAGATGGAATGGATGAATGGATGAATGAAAGGGAGAAATAGATGGATGGATTGAAGGAATGGATGGATGGACTGATGGGATAGATGGATGGATTTAATAAATAGATGGTTTGATGGATGGATGGATGGATGGATGGAAGGAAGGAAGGAAGGAACGAACGAACAAACGAATAGATGGATGGATTAAAGTAATAGACTGATGGATTAAGGAATAGACAGATTGATTGATTTAAGGGCTAGATGTATGAAAAGAAAAGATGGATGAATGGATGATGATGAAAGGAATAGATGAATGATTAAAGGAAAGGATGGATGGATGTATAGATGGAAGGGATGAATTGTACGAATGGATGGATGAATGAATGAAAGGAAGGGATAGATGAATGGATGAAAGGAAGGAATAGATGGAAAGATTGAAGGAATGGTTGGATGGAAGGGATGGAAGAATGGATGGATGGAAGGAAAGAATAGATGGATGGATTGAAGTAATAGACGGGTAAATGGATTGGTTAAAGGGATAGATAGATTGAAGGAAGGAATAGATGAATGAAATGAATGCATGGATGGATGAAAGAAGCAATAGATGGATGGATTAAAGAAATAGATTGACGGAGGGATTAGAGGAATAGATGGATGAATGAATGGATGGATTGAAGGGATAGATGAAGAAAAGAAAGAAAGAAAGAAAGAATAAATGGATGGATTGAAGGAATAAATAAATGGATGGAAGAAATAGATAGAAGGATGGATGATGAGTGGAAGGAATAGATGGGTGGATGGAAGGATTGAATAGATGGTTGGATGGAAACAATAGTTGGATGGATGGATTAAAGTAATGATGGACAAATTAAAGGAATAGATGGACGGGTGGATTAAAGGAATAGATGGATGAATGGAATGAAGGAATAGATGGATGTTAAGTAAAATAAACTATTTAAAAAGTGTGAGCACACAGTTCTTTGCATCTCTGTTTAACTCTCATAAAATGTAGTTTATGGTTTCACGCCTAATTGAAGACACATAAAAAACTATGCAGATTGACATAAAACACTGAATCTGTGTTTTTCAAATGGTTCAAACGCAGCAAATTAAACATTTTAATCTCAGTTTTTTGCAAATCAGAGATGCTGTTAAAATCGCCCGGCTCTCATACAGTACTTGCAAGTCTTGACATGAGCAGAGAGCGTGAAATGAGCCTAGTGGCACAGTCTTTAGCAAACTTAATGGCCAAATAATTAGCACGCTCTAATAAAAAAGCAATGTTTACAGTGTTTCCTAATAGTATATAGCCAGCAAAATGCTATTAGATATCTTGTAAATATTCATTAAGCGTCCGTCTAGACAACAAATTTCAAGGCTTGCAAAATTTGCAACTGTGGGAAAGCACAGACGCAGAGTCGCGCTAAACTACATTAGCTTTGCTCACAGTAGCATTTCTGCTGTCTGCTTTAATGCTAATGTCGCCCATTAGCCTGATTCATCATTTGAATGACTAAGCTAATGCTATCATCAGAGACGGAGTGATGCTATGAATCAGCGCTGCCTGTTTATCCACGTTGGCTGTTCAAGCGTCTCACCCGGCTTGTCTTTCATTGTTTACCTCTGGGTGCACAAGAGCAGCACGTTAACTCTGCGTTTGTCTTGTGTTGTTGTTAACTTCTTGCTTTATCTGTCTCGTTTCCTCTTGCTTTTAACTGCGTTTGGTAGTTTTGAGAAAACCGTGTTCACTCTGCTAATTAAAAACATTGCTTGATTTCACCATTGTCAGTTTTTTTTTTTTTTGTGAAATTAGTGTCAATTGAATTTTCTTCCATGTATTTCAAGGGACTTTCAACAAAACGATGGATGGATGGATGGATGGATGGATAGCTCAAAATATAAACGGGTGGAAAGAATAGATGGATGGATGGAAGGAATAGATTGTAATAGGTTGTATGAAAGAAAGGAAGGAAGGAATAGATGGATGGATTGAGAAAATGGATTGATTGTGGATGGATGGGTCTATTGACGGGATAAAATATGAAGGAATAGATGAATGGAAGGAAAGAAGGAAGGGAAGAAGGGATGGATGGATGGATGGATGGAAGAAATAGATGGATGGGAGGAAGGAATAGAAGGATGTATGGATGGAAAAAAGAAATGGTAGGAAGGAAGGAATAGATGGATGGATTGATGAATGGATGGAAGGAAGGAAGTAAAGAAGGAAGGAGGGAAGAAAGAAAGGATGGATGGATGGAAGTAATAAATGGATGAATTGAAGGAATTATTGTATTGAAGAATTAGATGGTAAGATTGAAGGGATGGATGGATGAATGAAAGAACTAAATGAATGGATTGAAGAAATAGATGGAAGGAAGAATAAGGATGTATAGATGGATGAATGAATAGAATGAATGAATGGATGGCTGGATGGATGGATGAATGGATGGAAAGAAGGAATTGATGGATTAAGAGATGGATTAAAGGAATAGATGTATGTATAGCAGGAATCGATGGATTAATAGATTGAAGGAATTGATATATGGATGGACGGATGGCAAGATGGAAGGAATAAATGAATGGAAGGAATAGATGGATGGACAAAGGAAAGAATAGATAGAAGTAATAGATGGATGGATGGATGGGTTTATGGATGGAATAGATTGTAATAGGATGTATGGAAGAAAGGAAGGAAGGAATAGATGGATGGATTGAGGAATGGATGGATAGATGGAAGAAATCGATAGAAGAAAGGAAGGAAGGAAGGAAGGAAGAAACAGATGGATAGATGGATAAACTAAGAAATGAAGGAATAGATTGGATGGATGGATGGATGGATGGATGTATTGAATAGATAGAATAGATTAATAGAAAAAGGAAGAAATTAATGAAGGAAGGGATGAATAGAATAGGATAGAAAGATGAATGGAAGGAATAGATGGAGGATAGAAGGAATAGATGGATAAATTGAAGAAATGGATAGATTGAAGGGATGGATGGATGTATTGAAGGAATGGATGGATGGAGAGATGAAAGGATGAATGGATGGTTGGATAGATGGATGGCTGGATGACATAGAATACATGTATGTATGGATTAATGGAAAGAATAGATGAATAGATCGAACAAACGGAAGGAAGGAAGGAAGGATGTATGGATGGATGAATGGATGGAAGGAATAGATGGATAGATAGATTGAAGGAATTAATGGATGGATGGATGGACGGATGGAAGAAAGGAATAGATGGATTGATGGATGAATGGATAGGAATATATGGGTTAAAGTAATGATGGATAGATGGATGGATTAAGTAATTAATGGATTGATGGATTAAAGGAATAGATGGATGGATATGTAGATGGATGGATGAACAGAAACATACCGTGTCCTCCTGTTGTTTACAGAAGACGCTCACTAACATGTCATTGAATGTAATGCATTTTCTATGCTAAAAGTCTTGTCAGGCTTATTGAGAACAAGAATCTTTTGATGACATTTTAATTAAAGATCACAGTTAAGACCCTAAATTCTCATTTAATGTCATTTGAAATAATTATACTTCACCGTCATCTTCAAAGCACAAGATTTGGCTGGTTTGTCAGAAAGTTTTTAATCCTGTAAGATACAATTAATTCACATATTCTGTTTAAAACTCTATTAAGTACAGGTCAGAATAAGGGTTTCATTTTTACACTGAATAACAATGAATAATTGTTTCCCCCATATTTCGACACTCTTCGTTCAAGTGCGTATTCAATTGTATAAATGAACATGAACCTGTTAACAGGTTTAATTGAATGAAACCGTTATCTCCGTTCTGCTCATTAAACATTAGATCAATAAGTAAACAAAGAAGCATGAATAATGACAGATTCAGAAGTGTTATCTGACACTGACAACTCACTTCTGGATATAACTGCACAGCTCTCAAATATGCTATTCTATTCTATTCTATTCTATTCTATTCTATTCTATTCTATTCTATTCTATTCTATTCTATTCTATTCTATTCTATTCTGTTCTGTTCTATTCTGTTCTATTCTATTCTATTCTATTCTATTCTATTCTATTCTATTCTATTCTATTCTATTCTATTCTTTTCTAGTGAGTGATTAAAATATTTTTGGATAATGATCTTTATAGTTGACTGTCTCAGGCATCTGGTTTCCTGCAGAACTGTGTCAGTTTATTGTCTCATGTACAGTTGAATTTCTTTTTCTTTTTTAAATATTTTCCAAATAATGTTTAACAGAGCAAGAAATATTTCACAGTATTTCCCATAATATTTTTCTTCTGGAAAAAGTCTTATTTGTTTAATTTTGGCTGGAATAAAAGTAATGTGTTGAAGAAATCTTCTCTCTGTTCAACAGAAAATGAGGAAAAAATAAATAGGGGGCTAATAATTTAGGGGGGCTAAATCTTACTTCAACTATATATATATATATATATATATATATATATATATATATATATTAGGGATGTAACGGTATTGTAAATACCGTCATACGGCAATATTATTTTTTTTCGATATTACCGTAGTCGCATGACTCGGTAAAACTATAGGTCTTCTGAGAAAATTTGCTCAGGCGAATGAAGCGAACGGGAGGTACCGGAAACTACAATTCCCATCAGCCCAGGCTTGGCCATAATCCCTTGCGGTCTGTTGTCGCTACAGATCCAGTAATGCGGAAATGGAGTGTGCTGCTAGAAGCGGGGATCAAAAAGAGCTGGAAAACCCTAAAGCGGGTGTTGTCGCCGCGCGCGTACTGAATAGTGGTGTTGTCCCGCGAGTTCTTATCAGCTGTGTTGTCGCGCGCGTAGTGAATAGTGGTGTTGTCGCGCGCGTAGTGAATAGTGGTGTTGTCGCGCGAGTTCTTATCAGCTGTGTTGTCGCGCGCGTAACTTACTGTAAAGCGGGGACGGAGGGTATGTCGCGTCGCGGGGGCACTTTTGATCATTTTGGAAGGGAACTTTCTATCCAAGACTAAAAAGGGCATGTGCACTGCACAGGTTGAGCACTGTGTGTGCACGTGCCTGCGAGTTGGGGAATACGACTAATAATCAGTCATGGGGACTGCAGAAACACAGCACACTGTTCAGATTGATGCAGACATGAGACCTCTATCTCACTCATGGTTTGTCTTCTCAAGTGGGGGAAAGACAATGCACAACGTTACCCACTGCTGTCAACCTGGGCCAAGTCATATCTCTCTTGTCCCAGAAACCTCAGTCCCAAATGAGAGGGGTTTTTTTCTGTTGCAGGGGACATTGTAAATACCCAGAGATATTAGCTTTTACCAGATTATAATTATATGATAATTTTCCTTTAAACCCATCTCTATCTAAGTGAGTGAGTGATTAAATGTTGAATGTGATGAAGTTTTCAACACTACTAAATTGAAACTTAATTTTTTTACATGGTTTAATATTTTTTTGTTATTAAAATTGAAGTTCCTGTTTCAAAGCTTACAGATAGATGGCTAATTTGTATGTCATTGACACTTTTGGCACTTTTTTGTAGTATTTTCATAAGTTTTGTTTTTTCCTGTAAATGATTCAATAAATACCATACCGTGACATTCATACCGAGGTATTACCGTACCGTGAAATTCTGATACCTTTACATCCCTAATATATATATATATATATATATATATATATATATATATATATATATATATATATATATATATATACACCAATGGCTCTTTAAAAAAAACAATTACCAAAATATCAATAATGGCTCTTTGCTAAAAAAAGGTTCCTGACCCCTGCTTTAAGCTGAAGAGTATCTTGAAAAATATTACAAATAAAATATGATGTGCTGTCATTATGGAAAAGATAAAATAAATCAGTTATTGCAAATGAATTATTAAAACTGTTATGTTTAAAATGTGTTCCTTCTGTTTAACAGAATTTGGGGAAAACATGTACAGTGGGGCTAATAACTGAGGAGGGCTAATAATTCTGATTTCAACTGCATATTACTGCACATTCTTTTCGTCTCATGTAGTCAATCAATACTTCACATCCATTTATTTTTTGTTTGGTAAGTAAGAGGCTTTGTATAAATAGCCTGAATTTATTTTCAAAATGCGCTGTGCGTTATCCCATTAATGTGTGTCAATGGCAGGATTGTGTCGCTTAAGTGCCACTTGATTAATAAAAAACCTCACGGTGAAACTCATTTAGTTTTTCTTTCTCTCCCTCAGCGAAACCTAAAAACTCGGCCACCGCCATCCCAGTGAGAGCAGGCACTTCTGAAGTTGTGGTTGCGACTTGTGCAGCAGCGCAAGGAAAACCAGAGGCAACAATCTCCTGGATTACGACTATCACTGGCCGCTATAACCACACTTCAGTGCCCGAGAGCGACGGTACGGTCACCGTGAAGAGCGAATATCGGATGATTCCAACACCTGTGGAGAATGGGAAGGAGATCACCTGTGTGGTGAATCAGAGGACGCAGATGGAAGACAAAGTTTTCAACCTGAAGCTGGTGGTGGAGTGTAAGATTCACACACACACACACACACACACACACACACACACACACACACACACACACACACACACACAAGCGCACTTGTTATTTTTAGTAAACAATAACATAAACTAGAACATTTTTTTTCATTAACTCAACTAATCATGAATTACTGTTCAACTAACTAAAACAAACACTGTCAATAAAAAATTAAATACTTTTAAAAAATGTAACACAAAAATGTGAACTCAAAAATAAAAATCTTCACTGAAAAATGGAAAACTGAAATGAAATAATAATTAGCAAAAAGTAATAATCATTTTCAAAATTAAAATAATAAATAGTGTAATAATATAATGAATTATAAATTAGCAAAAATTAATAATTGCTCTAGTAAACAAAAATGAAAACTAGAGCTATTAGAATTTAATTAACTGAAAAATAAATAAATAAATAAGGAAACTAAAACTAACAACTGTTACTAAAAAATTAACCGAAATGAAATAATAATTAATAAATAGTAATAATTTTCTAAATGAAATTAATAAATAGCATAAAAATATTATAAATGATAATTAGCAAAAAATATTAATTGTTTTTAATAAATTAAAATTCAAATGAATAAAAAAGAAACTAACCAGCTAAAACTAAGACTAACAGCCGTAACTGAAATAAAATAATCATTAGCAAATAATAATAGTTTTCAAAACAAAAATAATAAATAGCTTAATAATGTAATAAATAATAATTAGCAAACAATAATAATTGTTTTTAGTAAATGAAAATTGGGCTTTCATTAACTAAAATAAAATAAAAACAATTCTAATGAAATAATAAAATTAACAATCGTCACTGAAAAACTAACTGAAATAAAATTATAATTAACAAAAAAAATTATAATTTTTAAAAGAAACATAATAAATAGCATAAAAATATTCTAAATGATAATTAGCAAAATAATGTTAATTTTAGTAAAAAAAAAAATAGAAACTAAAACTGTTGGTCTTTTGTTAACTGAAATAAAATGCAAAAATTCTAATGGAAAAAAATAAAACTTTGCCAGAGATGGGTTGCAGCTGGAATGGCATCCGCTGCGTAAAACATATTCTTGATAAGTTGGTGGTTCAATCCGCTGTGGTGACCCCAGATTAATAAAGGGACTAAGCTGAAAAGAAAATGAATGAAAAACTAAAACTAACTGAAAAACAAACTGAAATAAAATAGTAATTAGCAATAAATAAATAAATAATATATATATATATATATATATATATATACATTTTTTTATTGATAAGCACTCACCTGCGGCTGTTTAGAGAAGCAGTTTACACACATTTTCTTCATCAAAATAGGCATGTTTACTCCATACTTGATCTTACATGTGACATATGTCTTAATTCTTCCCTATATTTATTATTTGATATTTTTGTGTGGTTTTGAGGTCAGTGTTTGTTTGAGCAAGGTTAATATACAAGACACCTAAATACACTAGAACTACTAAAAGTACTAGGGTCGAAACTAAAAATATAAAAAAATAAATATCAATGTGTTTACAAAATAAAAAAACGAAACTAAAACCAACTATTAATGAAACAAACTAAACTGAACTTAAATTTGCAGCAAATTTAAAAATAGTGTCCAATTTAAAATGTGAAATGCTGAATTATAATAACTTTGCTCACAGTTACTTCAATTGAATGTAGTAAAAAAATCTAAACTCTGTTGCTTTATTAACATTTTTTCTTCTGTGGAGCGCTGGAGAGTTTCCCGGTCAGGCTGCTCAATCTAATGAAAATAAACGAGGCTGTCGAGCACTAAAATAACAAACACTTAATGACATAAGTGAGCAATGAACAATACATTTCTGTAATGAGGTGTTGATGAATATGTTTCATTTCATAAATCAAGGCTCGCTTTTCCTCAAGCATCATAAGCTTAAGTAGATCTTAGAGACCGCTGGTACCAGTCATTTATATGTTCCACTTAGAAAAAATCGCCATGTCTGAATGATTCATTTGCAAATCAGACTTCAGTGTTTAAATTCACAAGATCTGTAGCTGTGTACATACTTGTTTATGATATCTCATTAAAAAACTGCTTGGTAGAAACATATATTTGCTCAATTGATGCAGATCAAATTTAAATCTCATGAAATACGGCATGGAAACAAAAAAAAAAGAGAACAAATTTACTGTAATATATGCCACACAATCTCATACAATATATGTCAGAAGATAACAAAACCAGCTACAGTATATTTGTAGGAATGGCCAACATTACATTGTACAAGGTAAAATCACCAATTCATTACACTATTAAGTCCCATAAAGATATTTCATAAAGTCCTACTACTTTAGATATATCAAAATGCAGTTCAAAGTATTGCCTGTGTTCATTTTTTTTTCAAGATCTAAGGTGAACTATCTGCTGCTGCGTTAAGTTTGACAATAAATGTGACGTCGAATATTTTCAAACTCACATGTTTAGCATTTAGAATCGCCCATAATCAGTATCTGAGGTTTCTTTGTCATAGATGTTTGTTGTTGTTCATTTGTGAGTAATTAAAACCGTTTCTAAAAAGTAATGGCTAGGACAAAAACTGCTTTAAATATGGCAAATATTATTGTGCATCGTCTCTTGTAGCTAGGATACTGTGTAGGCTTGATAGTTAAGTATGCGCACTCATTTTGTTGTCGTCAATCTTGCAACCTGCATTTGCGTGGAGTGGTCAGAGGAAAGGGCAGGGTGAAAAAGTGTTTCGATTTTGGACTGCAGTACCTACTTCAACCACTGGGTGTCACCTTTTTTGTCGTGATTTGATTTTTTTTAACGCCCAAATTCTAGATGTTCAAAAATGAGTATCTGAGACAAATATTGTACTGTGTCTAACACGGTATTTCCCAACTCTGTTCCTGAAGGCACACCTACAGTCCACATTTTTAAACTCTTCCTATTCAAACACACCTGAATCAAATCATCAAAATGTTAAACGAGAAACGAAAACCTGAAATTAATGATTCCGATAAGGGAGACATCCAAAATATGTACTGTTGGTGTGCCTACTCGAACAGGGTTGGGAAACACTGGTCTAACAAACCATCAATGCAAAGCTTAATTATCAGCTTTGTGAGATAATAATATCTAAAAATACCATTATTACTGGTAATAATATTCATTCATTCATTTTTCTTCGGCTTAGTCCCTTTATTCATCAGGAGTCGCCACAGCGGAATGAACCGCCAATTTATCCAGCAAATGTTTTACACAGTTTTACATGTTTTACACCCTTCTAGCTGTAACCCATCACTGGGAAACACTTATACACTCTCACATTCACACACATACACTACGGCCAATTTAGTTTATTCAATTCACCTAATGGCGCATGTCTTTGGACTGTAGGGAAAACCCACGCCAACACGGGGAGAAATACCAACTGATCTAGCCGGGACTCAAACCAGAGACGTTCTTGCTGTGGGGCAACAGTGTTAACCACTGAGCCACTGTGTCGCCCAGGTTATAATATTAAGTTCTGTTATATAGTTGCTTTGAGTCAAAGTTAATTGACCTTACTACCTGATTTCCAAACACCAGGCATCGATTTCCTTACGAGAGGTAACATGGCAGCAGTTGTTTTTGCCTGGTCGTTTGTATTGTACTTTACATGTCTAGTTTACATGGTTACAGCAAGTTACGAGTGGCGCAGTAGGTAGTGATGTCGCCTCACAGCAAGAAGGTCGCTGGATCCCTGGTTCGATCCTCGACTCAGTTTCTGTGTGGAGTTTGCATGTTCTCTCTGCGTTCACGTGGGTTTCCTCCGGGTGCTCCGGTTTCCCTCACAGTCCAAAGACATGCGGTGCAGGTGAACTGGGTAGGCTAAATTGTCCGTAGTGTATGAGTGTGAATGTGTGTGAATGAGTGTGTGTGGATGTTTCCCAGAGATGGGTTGCGGCTGGAAGGGCATCCGCTGCGTAAAAATGTGCTGGATAAGTTGGCGGTTTATTCCGCTGTGGCGACCCCGGATTAATAAAGGGACTAAGCCGACAAGAAAATGAATGAATGAATAAATAAATTCATCACTTCGGATGATTAGAGAAGCACTGATACTACAATTCTCAATAATGTATTTTGATATGGATTCTGATTATTTAATGGTTCTGCCTTTGAGACCTCTTTTTGAGATGGTTATAAAATACACAAATAAAAATAAACAATAAAATACAATAAAGTAATAAAAATAATAATATAAATAAAGTAATAAAAATACACAATTTTGATAAAAATTTTATTAAACCTTTATTTTCTGCATTTCAATAAGTTGCCTCAGAATAATACATTACTTGAATTACACAAACTCATTACCTAAACTCATCAGCTAAACGAGGCCCTGCTAATAGGCTTTTAAAAAAAAGATAGTTTCCTCCACTTTTTTTGTTGTTAAGATTTTAATTACTTTTAGTTAAATTTTAGGTGAACTACCCCTTTAAACAATTGGCTGATCTGCTGTTTAAAGGCATAGTTCACCCCAAAAACTAAAGTTCTGTCATCATTTACTCACCTTCCACTTTTTTTAAACCTTTTTTTTTTTTTTGCTTCTGTTGAACACAAATGAATTTGGGTGTAAAAACAGATATCAATTTCCATAGTATTTTTTTTTTTTTTCCTAATATAGATCCGTTCTCAACATTCTTCATAATATCTTGTTTTGTATTCCACAGAATAAAGAAATAAATGTTTAAAACCACTCGAGTGTGAGTAAACCATGAGAAAAAACTTCCTTTTGCGGTGAACTAATGCTTTTATCGACCAGTATTGATTATCAACATCACATTTGTTATGACTTTAGTCTCATTTACTCATTTTTGGTCTCATTTAAAAAAAAATTTTTGGTTGATTTTTCATTCATTGCCGTTAAAAAGTAAAGCCAACAAGCAGATTAATACAAACACCTCTTTTTGTGTTTAACGGAAGAAAGAATGTTGTGCGATTTTAAAAAGACACGGAAGTGTGTTGAACATGGACGGAATTTTCATTTCTAGCTGAACTAATCCTGTAAAGAAGTGCGTTCTCAGTGACACACTTATGAACTCATAATCCCTCTCCTATCATTTGCTCATAACACCTTTTCTCACCACCCACCCCTCTTCACATCAAAAAATGCATTTAAGCATCTTCGCCTCTGTTATATGTCTGCCTCAACACATTGTTCACGTTTTTTTTTTTCTCTCTCTCCATGAAAGCTATTTACAGAGGTGTGTTTGCATAGCTGAGCTGGAATATTTGAGGATGTCACAGATTTGCAACTTCACCGTTCTTTTTATAAACGGCCCTGTTGGAACATCCTCACCTCTTGCACTTTCATTCTGCATTTCTTAAGCATGTAAAAGTGCTTTGTGAGTCTATAGGGCTGTGCAGCCTTCAGCAAAACCGATCTTCTCTGAACCGCAGATAACCAGCCTTTGAACTGCTTTTTAAATGCAGGATTTGCAGATGTCTCACTTACGCTTGATTTTTTTTTTCTAGACCCACCCACTGTGACAATAGACGGATATGACAATAACTGGTACATGGGTCGGACTGATGTCTATTTGACCTGTGAAGCTGATGCCAACCCGGAACCCAGCGAGATTTCCTGGACAGTGTAAGTTTCTTCACAGGCTTTCACAAAATTTAGTGTTATTTCAAACCTATATGGTTATTTTTGGGTTCAAATTTATATAAAATGAGATGTTTAGTATGTATGTAGGGGATAATCAGTGGCTCGGTGAGCTACAATTGTTTTAATACATGTAGGCTCTATTTACCACTCCTCTAGGGTTAAACTGTTTACTTTTATCATTTTAATCCATACAGCCAATCTCTGGGTCTTGAGGGTGCACTTTTAGCTTAGCTTAGCATAGTTCATTGAATCGGATTAGACCATTAGCATGCAGCTCAAAAAACACCAGAGTTTTGATAGATATAAACTTGAATCTATATAAAGCATCACTCTTCTGTAGTTGCATTGTGTGTAATATCCGTAATATTACATGTCAACCAAGTATCAAGCTTTTACTAGAAATACTAGAAACTTCCTGACAGGTGTGTTGAAGCAAGTTGGAGCTAAACTCAGCAGGACACTTGCCTTCCAGGACCGAGTTTGGACACCCCTGCTCTAAGCTATCTAAATCTTGTAATTTATGTAGTTACATCATGCATAATATCTGTAATATTACGTGTGTAATATATTTTTTTTCTATTTTAAATATTTTGTGTTTGCTGTGTGCTAAGGCAACACCAAACTTTTTTGAAATAGGTTCATTTTATGGCTCTCTCAAAGTTAAAATGTTGACTTTTACCATTTTTGAATACATTCAGCCAATCTCCGGGTCATGCGGGTGCACTTTTAGCTTAGCTTAGCATAGTTCATTGAATCGGATTAGACCATTAGCATGCAGCTCAAACAAGACCAGAGTTTTGATAGATAAAAACTTGAATCTAAATAAAGCATCACTCTTCTGTGGTGTGATTTTGCATAATATCCGTAATATTACATGTGTGTAATTTTTTTCCTGTTTTTAGTTTCTTTTTTGTGTGTAAATTAATTAAATGAAAAAGCAATGGCTTGCTGTTGGTTAAGGAAACCTGTTTTAAAAATAGGTTAATTTTACAACTCCCCTAAAGTTAAACTTGGTGACTTTTACTATTTTTTGATCCATTCAACCAATCTCCAGAAGCCTCATGTATAAAGTCTTGCGTTGAATTCATACTAAAACATTGCGTACGCACAAAGCTGTAAATGTGCATACGCAGTAAACAATTCAGATGTATAAAACACTGCGTACGCGGAATCCCACGCATATTCTCTTTCTACATCCGACATAAGGTGAAACTGGCTCACAAGCAGGAGCGCAAAACCCCTCCCTGCCCCCTCCGTCTTATAAATATGGAAATGACTCTACTTTGGCAAAACCAAATGAAAAAGCAATGGCAAAATCAAGCAAAAAGAGAAACTTTGAACAGAATGTGAATTGGAGGTGCTCCTATTGAAGATAGACCGGAGAAAAACGGTGTTATTTGCAAGTTTGTCGGCCATTTGATCGACAGAGACAACAAAACAAAAGAACAGCGCAAGTGGCGTAGTTCATAAAGCGCTTGGCAACATGTTTTAACACTATCATTCATGAACCCGGTACCAATCCAGCGTCTGAAGAACTCATGCTTCTTTTTTTCCCCATTACATATCAGATTTTGCCTACTCTTCATCATGAGGAAGACAAGCAGGAATCATTAATAAGTGTGTGTATTATGTTAAGTGCAGTTGAGCATCACATATTATTTGCACATTTATTGAATAGAAATGTTTCCGATTCCCGTAGCCTATGCAAATCGTTGAAAATCGGATTTATGTTCTATACGGAAAATCAGCCAAAGCAAATGAATTTTAGGTTGGAAAAATAATTCATTTTTTAATTTTTCTTTAGAAAAAAACTGAAACTCACAGACCCGAACACCATACAAAGGTTAAATTAAAAAAAAAAAACAATTATTATATAAAATTATAAAAATGTTTTATTAAACATGAAAAAAAAAATGCTTTACTAAAGCAACTGTGGCCCTTTAAAAAAATCCAATTATCATTACAATTTTCTTCAGGACAAATCTATAAAGATAATTTGTCTAGTGAACTAATGAGCTGTAGACACCAAATGACTTAGCCAAGGTAAATTTAATGGTATGTGACTTATTTGCAACCTATTTTAACATTTGAATCAGCATTAACTCAAACATTGATCTTGGGATTTATGAAACAATGCTAGTTCAATAAAAAAAAAAAAAAAAAAAAAAAAAAATATATATATATATATATATATATATATATATATATATATACACACACACACACACACACATATATATATATATATATATATATATATATATATATATATATATATATATAACCAGAAGTTTCAAGTTCTACAAGTGCAGAAGTTCAAACAACACTGTTTGTTACACATATGCACATTAACTGTCCATTATATTTTGTGCTGAAAAAAATTAATTTAAACGATTGCAACAACACCAGGGTGAGTAAATGATGGCAGCATCTGCTCGAAAGAGAAAGAAACAACAGAAGCCTTTGTTTTGATTCTGTATCATTAGCATTAGTATTCATTTAGTCTGAAGGAATCTATATTTCTTATTTATATTTATGTGTTGTTGCAACCGGCTCCGATATGACTGAAACCAAGTCAAATATGGCAGTTCTTGCCGCTAACAGCAGCTACAGGCTAATTGGCTCTGAATTGAAGAAGCGTCTCTGCCCGCGGTATAAAGCAACAGCAGCCTATTAACGCTTCACTGGCTCAACTTCATTTTCTCAACAAAACAAAGGAGAACGCGAATCGATACAGATCGAGAAACAACATTTATTAGCAAGATTTATTGGGCAACATGCACTTAGATGAAGCAGTTTGTTTGTACTGTTTTACGTTAGTTGGCAAATGTGTGACCCTAGTGGTTTTATTTGGCGCTTTTCATAAGGGAGTGGGTCTAATTGTATTAGTGTTGTATAAAAAATATAGCAAAATAACACATGCATTCGCCTTTTATGCCCAAAAATGAAAATTATCTCCTAATTTACTCACCCTCAAGCCATCCTCTGTGGATATGACTTTCTACTTTAAAGGAACGCTCCACTTTTTTTTTGGAAATCGGCTCATTTTATGTCACCGAGAGTTACACTTTTTGAATCGATTCATTTCTGTGTATGGCTGGAGCACTTTTAGCTTAGCTTAGCATAGATCATTGAATCGGATTAGACCATTAGCATCTCATTCAAATAATATAAAGAAAAGAGTTTTGATTACTTTCCTATTTATTGCTTGAGACTTCTGTAGTTACGTTGCGTGACAGAAAATTATAAGTTGATATTTTCCTGGATGATATGGCTAGGAACTATCTTTCATTCCAGTGAAATAATCAAGAAACTTTGCTGTCGTATCATGGCTGCAGCAGGCTCAATGATATCACACAGTGCCTGGAAATAGTGCCCAGCAAGGTAACAGCGCAGCTGCCACAATGTAACCACAGAAGAGTCAAGCTTTAAATAAAAATACTTATTTGAAATTTTTTGAGATGCTAATGGTCTAATCCGATTCAATGATCTATGCTAAGCTAAGCTAAAATGTTTCAGAAGACCCGGAGACTTGCTAAATGGATGAAAAAAAAGGTAAAATAATTTTTTTTAGGGCATTTGTGAAATGAGGCTCAAAAAAGTAGAGTTTTTCTTTAAGATAAACACATTCGTAGTAGTTTAAAATGTTATCCTGGGTTGTGGTGGTTATTTTCTTAAGCTTTTAAAAGTACATCATAAATTAACCCATATGCCATATGCATATCTTATGAAGCAGATTGAGGTGTTTTTATAATAAAAATACTTAAAACTATAAACTCAAATTACTGACTTCTACTGCCGAATGCATATTATTAACAACTTCCTCCGAATTGACAAATGATGAGGGACATAAGATGTATTCGTAGCAGAAGCTCCTTGAATAGACGAGTCTCATGGGAACCACTTACAGTACAAAAAAAGTTTGTTTAACCCAGAAGAAAATGACGAGCAAGTTGTCGAACTACTTGTCTTGACATTACTGGATCATATTATAAAGTATTTTAACATTACAGTGTGACATTCCTGAAAGACGCATTTAGTCCTGGAGTTTCTGATATGAATGCGCCAAATTTAGGCCTTTTTAGGAAGCTTTAAACAATGGCCACTACCAAACACTGCTATATACTGTAGCATTCAAAAACCTCAACTACAACTTTGTTCTTATCTAAGAAGTAAGTAATTTACACGGAGACTGGCTTGAGGGCGAGTAAATTACAAGGTAATAACATTTTTTTGGTGAGCTTTTCCTTTAATGTCTCAATCACTGGCCACTTTATTAGGTACACCTTACTAGTACTCTGTTGAACCCACTTTTGCCTTCAGAACTGTTTTAATCCTTCATGGCATAGATTCAACAAGATACTGGAAATATTCCTCAGAGATTTTAGTCCATGTTGACATGATAGCATCACACAGTTGCTGCAGATTTGTCGGCTGCACATCCATGATGTGAATCTTCCGTTCCACCACATCCCAAAGGTGCCCTATTGGATTGAGATCTGGTGACTGTGGAGGCCATTTGAGTACAGTGAACTCATTGTCATGTTCAAGAAACCAGTCTGAGATGATTGTCCTGCTGGAATTAGCCATCAGAAGATGGGTATACTTTGATTATAAAGGAATAGACATGGTTAGCAACAATACTCAGGTAGGCTGTGGTGACACAATGCTGAATTGGTACTAATGGGCACAAAGTGTGCGAAGAAAATATCACCCACGCCATCACACCACAACCACCATCCTGAACTGTTGATACAAGGCAGGATGGATCCATGCTTTCATGTTGTTGACCCCAAATTCTGACCCTACCGAACGAATGTGGCAGCAGAAATCGTGACTCATCAGACCAGGCAAAATTTTTCCAATTTTCTTTAGTCCAATTTTGGTGAGCCTGTGCAAATTGTAGCCTCAGTTTTTCTGTTTTTAGCTTACAGAAGTGGCACCCGTTGTGGTCTTCTGTTACTGTAGCCCATCTGTTTCAAGGTTGGACGTCTTGTGCATTCAGAGATGCTCTTCTACATACCTCAGTTGTATCAAGTGGTTATTTGAGTTACTGTTGCCTTTCAGCTGGAAACAGTCTGGCCATTCTCCTCTGATCTCTGGCATCAACAAGGCATTTGCACCCACAGGACTGCCGCTCATTGGATATTTTCTCTTTTTTGGACTATCTCTCATGGTTGTGCATGAAAATCCCAGTAGATCAACAGTTTCTGAAATACTCAGCCCGTCTGGCACCAACAACCATGCCACATTCAAAGTCACTTAAATCACCTTTCTTCCCCATTCTGATGCTCGGTTTGAACTGCAGCAGAGTTGCTGCCATGTGATTGGCTGATTAGAAATTTGCGTTAACTAGCAGTTGGACAGGTGTACCTAATAAAGTGGCCGGTGAGTGTATGTAGAGATATATAGTTGGAATTATTATGTATTTTCCCCAATTTCTATTTGATGGAAAGATTTTAATAAACATAATCATTTGTTCTGTAGACAATCTAATAAAACAAATAAATAAATATATATATATGTGTGTATTTTCAGTAATCTTTTACAATATTAATGCTGTTCTTTCTCAATTGTTGTTCAGTGCGACAGGTCAGATGCCTTCTTCTGTACGAGTGGAGGAAAACCGGCTGCTGGTGAGGAAGGTAGACGAAACGGTCAACACCACTTTTGTGTGCGAGGTGAAGAACCGTCTGGGAACGGGGAAGAAAGAGCTGGTCGCTTTGGTCATCGGTGAGTAACGCAATGCAGGAATGCCACGCGCACTCAAACATTCAGTACACTTTCCAACTCAACAACAAAGTCCTGACCAGGTGCGGTAAGCTAAACATGCCGTGCCTGCTTAGGACACTACTGCACGCCACTTTCATTGCACGCAGTACAAGGAGAAAAACAGTACGCGGGATTGATCTGGGATTCACTTCTTTAATGTGGGTGGGCTTCAGAAGCTAGACTCTTTACTCGGTGGTTGGGTTTCTAGTTTTCCTGCCTAACCCAATTTTGCGGGATTTTCTCCAGAAGGTCTTTGTTCTATGCGAAGTCACTTGGTGTGAGCCAGTTTGCCGGGTTGCTTTTTATTTCTCCCTTTCACTTGTTGTTTTCTTCCCCCCTCTTCACCACCCCTAACAACACAGTACTGTTGTATCTTTGATTAACCCCTTCTAACAAAAAAAAAAGATAAAAGACAGCTATTGTTGTTTCCCTCTCTGTTCCTGTGCATGGTTTTCTTTCTTTTCCTGCAGCTTTGTTGTCCCGCACTCTCGCACATGCTCTGTGCAACCCTTGATGCACAACACTGTCTTGATGGTATGTTTGCTGAAATGTTTACCCGCTGTCGATCAGATGCCGAGATGCCGCTTGGCTAAACGGACGCGTGTAGGCCCCACAAGCCACTGTGTGCTTCTGGCACTTTCTCAAGCCAAGGCAAGCGCAAGAGCCTCTTTTAGAATCCGTGGGAATCCTTTTGGAAATTTCAATTGTCTTGTGGGAGAACAAAGGCTCTTTGTAGGCGCACTGTAGCGAGAAAATGTGGGATGTTTTTCTAGTGTTTTTTTTTTTGCTAATCAGTATTATAGGGATGAGTTTTATCACATGGAAAGATTCATGTTAAAACACACATTCTGTGTTGACACATAACATGGGATTGTCGCAAAGTAACTGCCCTGTCAACGGCCTGAAGTTTTTCACAGCACTTTCAATTCCTGATTAAAGGTCTGCCAGTTTCTCTGCTGGTTGAGGTCATTTTATACTGGTTCATTCTTTTTTTTTAAGCAGGGATGAAGAGCTGTTATGATGTTTGTGAGATATAAAGATGAAATTTCAGAGAAGTTAAGTGGTTTGGAACGGACTTAATGGTTTGCTAGTCTGAGCAGGTTTCAACTTTAGTCTGTTTAAATGGTCTCACCGCTTCCTGACTATTTACTGTATGAAGCATCTAATACCATGTAAACAGTTTAACTTAGCATGCCTTCTCCAGTCTAAACATTTAGAGGAGTGTTTGACACTTTTAGTTGATGAGGGTTAGATAAACTGAGATTAACTGAGATAAACTTAGAGATTAGATAAACTGATGAGCTGAAATTTTAGCTCTTCCTCTGGGAGATTAGCTAAATCTTGGCTTGTTTAGGCTAAATTATGTCTTCCGCCTTGGGTTGGTTGGTTAGGTTAGTCAGTTTTTACGGTTTTAGAGGGATCTTGAACTCTTCAGTTGGTGATGGTTGGAAATGCACCAGAGTTTATTTCAATGGAAATAATCGGATGAGAATAGCAATTTAGTTTTTTGACTGAAGGAGAAAAACTCTGCTCAATGGTCATAACAGCATAATATTCCTCTGTAATACATGTAAAAATCCTCTAAAAATACATGTGCCTGTAGACGCTCCCCCAGGCACATATATACTTATGTAAATATATGCTCCATGTACAGTTGAAGTCATAATTATTCAACCCCAACCCTAACTGATTTATTTTATCTTTGCCATGATGACAGTAAATAATATTTGACTAGTTATTTTTCAAGACGCTTTTATACAGCTTAAAGTGACATTTAAAGGCTTCGCTAGGTTAATTAGATTAACTTGGCTGGTTGGGGTAATTAGGCAAGTTATTGTATAATGATGGTTTGTTCTGTAGACTATTGAAAAAATATAGCCTAAAGGGGCTAATAATTTTGTCCCTTAAAATGGTGTTTAACAATTTTACAGCTGCTTTTATTCTAGCCAAAATAAAACAAATAAGACTTTCTCCAGAAGAAGAAATATTATCAGACACATTGTGAAAATTTCCCTGCTCTGTTAACCATAATTTAGCAAATATAAAAAAAAATAAAATCAAAGGAGGGCTAATAATTCTGACTTCAACTGTATATCAAATAATAGTATATATACTTGTTCTTGCTGCTTGCAGTAACGATTATGGTGCTGTCATGGCAACCCTGGTAAAATGACGCATTTCCACTTGTTTTTCATCAATAATAAATTTAATCATTTAACTGTCATTAAAATATATATTGGCTTGTGCTCTTTTTAAATTAGTATATTACTTATTGACTTATATTTATAAAGTCTTTAATTAAATTTGTTTATATTCCTTAATAAAATTAGAAATAAGCATTTAGGTTTCGGTTTTTCAGCTTCAGTTGATCCTGGAGATTTGTTTTCAGGACAGAATTTTCATTTCAGTGTGTCTCTAAGGTTAAACACTGGCTTGTTAGACTTGCAGTCAAGCAAAATCTTGGCTGGTCTAACTGCCTTTAAGTAGTCTTCCATACTGGTGATGGGCAGTCTTGTTGATCTCTCAACCTGACCATCTGAAAACTGAAAAAAGAGTTGAAACTAGTTGAAAACCATGAAAATTTTTCCAAACAGTATGGCAGCTTGGACGACCAGCTTAAACAAGCTAAAACCAAAGCTTAAACTTGCTCTGGTTGGTTTAAACTTTTTTTTTTCATTTTATTTTTCAACAGGGAACGCTTGGTGGGGTTATTCAGTGTTAGTTATTCACTTCCCTCACCTGCAATTTTTCCATTTGCCAGCCACTTTTGTGCTGTCATGACAAAGCTGGTAAAATGAAGCATTTCCACTTGTTACTGTCATAAAATATTATTAGCTTGTGCTTTTTAAAATCAGTTTATTACTTATTGAATAATTCATTTTGTATATATTTCTTAATAAAATAAGAAAAAAGTATTTAGGTTTCAGTTTTTTCAGTTTCAGTTGATCCAGAAGGTTTGGTTTCAGCACAGAATTTTCATTTTAGTGCATTCCTTAGGTAAACACTGGCTTGTTAGACTTTCAAACAAGCTAAACCTTGGCTGGCCTAAGTTGAATTAAATGGCCTTCCAGAATGGAGAGTCTTGCTGATCTTCCAATCTGACCATCTGAAAGTGAAACTGGTTGAAAACCATCAGAATTGTCTAGTCTTACCATTATGGTAGCCGTAAGGACCTGCTTAAACAAGTTAAAACCAGAGCTTAAACTTGCCCAAGCTGTTTTTTCTTTTGATTTTCAATTTGAAACACATGGTGGGGTTATTCAGTGTGAATTATTCACTACATCCACCCGCTATTTTTCCATTTGCCAGCCGCTATTTGTGCCCGTTATTATACTGCGCGGTGTGTATTTCAATTAAGTCATTAAGTCAGGTGTAAACAGGCCCTAATACAAATGCAGACACGAATGCCACACCATGACAAAGCCCAGCGGACTGCAGGCGAGACTTGTGCTGACGCAAGAGGAATTTAAAAACCCCCCATCTCCCAAAACTGTACTCGTGAATTAGACTAGATTGCACTTCTCCTCAACTGGTCCACCAGCCTAGCTGGAGAGAAAGTGTGTGTGTGTGTGTATGTGTTTATGTGTTAAAAAAAAAGTGAGAGAAGAGAGCGGAAGGAGGGCTGTTATCAAGAGGAACGTCCCCCAGACAGAAAGCTCTGGAAGTTGAAATCACTCTCTTTTTCTCTTCCTGCTCTGAAAGGGAGGGAGACCTCAGCTCATGCCAGCCAACAGACTAATCATGCAGCTTGCCAAGAAGGAGTTTTTCCTCATTTCGTTCTCCTCCCCAGCCATTTTCAGACAGCTAATGCTGAAAACTAAAGGCTTTCATTGTAGGCTCTTTTTGGGGGTTGGAGAGGCCATTTAGCTGCTTAAATTCTTGGCTGGGTTTCGGTGCCGTTTACTGGGCTTGATAGCGGCTGCTCTTAAGGAAACACTTTTTGCATTACATTTGCATGCATGCATGTATGTATGCAAGTGCATGCACAACTTAAAAACAGCACACAAGGCACATCCCCGCTGAACACATCCATCGTGTTTTGAATGCATCATCAGGTCAGTTGTAGGGGTGGGGATCTTCAGGGATGATCCGCTCAATCGGATTCCAATTCTAGGAGTCATGATCTGATTCCAAAATAACTTTTTTATTATTATTTTTATTATTAAGCAGTTACTTGAATAACAATAAGTACATGACATGAAATATATAGTTTAATCTGCTGGTTTAAAACATACAGAATAATAATGGAATACACTTATGTAAACAACCATGACATTACACTTATCCCAACCCAAATCAACCCCACAGTCAAAATATACGAAAAAAAAAACATACAAATTAATTAATAAATTAATAAAAGAGCTTAATAAAAGAGTTGTTAGGGGAAAATTTGAAAATTCTTTTTTTTTTTTTTTTTATATATATTTTTTTAGGAGTTTTCACCTTTATTGATAGGACAGTGGAGATATAGAGACAGGAAAGTGTGGGGAGCAGAGATAGGGGAAGGATCAGCAAAGGACATCGAGACGGGAATCGAACTCGGGTCGCTGCGAGCACCTTGGTGCCATGTGTCGACGCACTAACCACTAGGCTATTGACACCGATGAAAATGTGAAAATTCTTAATGTAATTTTTCCCTTTTTCTTCTGCTCTGCAAAATCTAATCTGACTTTACATTTTAAAAGGTTTTATGCTTGAGCTTTTATGACTTTAATCAGTGTATGACCAACATAGGCTCATTCTGAAAGCGTAGCCCTATATACATGTCTGGAGATCGCAAATTATGTAACCAGAGGAGAGAAGAGACTGTTTGTACAGGTGGTTTGTCAAGCCTACTCACCTGTGTGCTAATGTCGGTTAAAGTCTCAGAGAGATGAAAGTGTGTGTCTACAGCAGTGTCGTGCGGTGAGGTCTGTGGCTGGTGAGGCACGACTAGTCATATTTACTAATAAACTGTATGC